GTCATCCCGAGCCCTCATTGGCTCAAGCATTTCTATAGCCTGAACAGCAGATACAACCCATAAGACCCACAGACGGCCAGAGACATAGACAGACGGACAGACAGACCGACAGACGAACGGACGTGCGGACAAAGAGACCGACCCACCGACCGACGAACAGATCGACGAGCACAACAGACTGAAGCGAGCACCGCGCGATAGGTTCTATACCGGGCGACGAACCACCCGACATTGAAGCCTCTCGCTAATGCTACTGGCTGGAAGATAAGAATCTGTATGGAAGAACGAAGAGGAGATAGAGCTGAAGGAAGTGGAACCGCTTCAGCCGTTGGATACGTCGTTATAGCTACTGATGCCGATCTCATCCTGATAGTCGGCGTTGGTCGGTCGGCTGGCTCGGTCGTTCGACTCTCGGTCGTTCCGCTGGTTATCGATAGAGCGGCATTGACGCAATCATTTTGCATATTGACGGATTTCGAAACTGGGATCGTCGAATCCAGATAGATGCCTTCGGGGTTGCGTGCGTCCGGAATCGCAACATCACGAATTCGAGCTCGTTTCGCTAGATTCCAGCGAGAGAATCCTGGTCCGTCGGAGATCTTATGCGTCACTCGCCTTCACGGCTTTGCTCCGCGAACTCTGGCCGATTCAGCGGAGGCGTTCTGCTCCATTACGGCAGTGTAGGGGAGGCGTTTCGGATCGACGTCAAACTTCGACGAAGGAAACTCTTGCGAGAACGAGAAACTCCGCTACCGGGTCGTCGGCCTGTTGAGGATTCGATAAGAGCCATTTTGAGACTGGGTGAGTTTGCAAACAGCGTCGGGTATAATGGACCTTACCCCGCGAGCCGCGAGTAAGTAATTCCGGAGCGATGGCTTATTGGACGATTCGCGAGGTTAATCGCCCTCGAGGGCGTCGGTGAGGAAGGCTGCAGCGGTCTCATCGATAATTTTCGCGTTCCATTCCGTCTCGGAACTGAGAACCCATCGTCGGAGACGGCGGACTCCAAATATAAGGACCATTCCAGCTGGTCCCTCCAAGTCCGTTGTAGCGAGGCTCTACTATTTAGCGAACGATGAAATCCTTCCATCGCGCCTGGAGCCCACCACAAGGTCCTCTGATTGTTTGTCGAGCAGCGCATCTATGACCGCGGTCGCGACTTCTGCTTTTTCTCCCTCAAATGGGATTCTGGCAAATCATTTCAGAACTGCGTCGAATCTCTCGAATTCTGAATGGATCAAGCGGAGCCTCCTCCTGGTGTTATCAGAACGTGTATGGCAGTTCTGAGAGAAGCTAAAGATATTCGGTGACTGAACGCATCCTCCGAAACCAAACTCAGGCCGATCAAGGCTTCGGAAGAGCGAATGAAGCAATGAAAATTTTGCAATCGGTCAAGAGAACGGATTTACGGCACATACGCTTTAGCGCACGAGAGTGATTGAGCGATCTAGGTGGAGCTCGGAAACTGCTCCCTAATCTAGAGGTTCCATGTCCGAGTTTTAGCCGGTGCATGCGAGACTTTTTTTCCATCCTCTCGCTGGGGATCACCAGCACTGCTGCCTCGGGAACGGTGGCGCTCTAACGACGGAGCCCTCCCTTGCCCCGCGTCGGGCCACCCGAAACAATCCTGCGCGATTTCGCTTGCTGAAGAACAGCAACCGAATTACGATAATCGGGTTACGGTAATCCGGGGACTGAGAATCGGGGGATCGACATTCGGGGAAACGATAATCGGGGGTGCGCGGTAGAACCGTTCTTCACTCGTCCAGACTCGGTCTCGAGCCCAGGGAAGACCGGCGCGGCGGCGTCCTTCCGAGGCCTGTTTATGATCTTCAGATGATCGAATGATCCCAAGATTCCCGGATCCAAGATGCCTGACATTTCGGATACTATTCGACGGTAAACCGCAGTAAGAGAACAACATCCCCCACTTTGGTTGGACTGCGCGCAGCAGCCCCAAGCGAGTGCATGGACACCCTTCCCCTCGGGCCCGTATACAGACTTTTCTCCAACGATGCAAGAATACAGGTCCACGAGGTGATGAGCGACTCGAGAATCCATACTCAGGAAGACTGCTCGTTTACCAGAGGCTAGATGAAACACATCTACGGAGAGAACGCTGAAGCTCTCATAGACGATGCTCAAGTGGCACCTTCTACATCGATCACGGGAGCTCGAGCTTTGTTCATCTGACCCAGGCCATGAGTGCATCATACTTCACGCTCAGCTTTTTTCCCTGAGGACGATGATCCCTACCTAGGTCGTACCTGGGTGGTTTTAGATCCCGATCTGCTTATCAACTCACTCAGATTACAGTCGGCATATGCGCCTGCTTCTTCTCCGTGGATTCAGGTCGCCTCAGTAGGACCTATCTCGACGCTATCGACCTAGGATGATCCCTTCGGCGCAAGGTGCCTCGAATCCCGTACCACCAGTGTGAGGAAGCGCTCAGGTCCCAAAATAGGGCTTTCGACGGCGCAAGCTCGCTCCATTCCCGTCACCGTCGGATCCTGTACAATTCAGCCCGGGCATTTCAGGCTGCGTAGATTTGAGCTCGCTTCTACCCGATTTCCTTCTCCTACATTCTTTTGGGATGAAAATAAGATGAGAAAGCCAGGAAGAGAAAAAAGCCTCTGGCAGGTAGCGTCAGAGACACTACCGTAAGTTTGGACGTGAAACGCATTCTCGATTGCCCCAAAGGATCCTTAGGTCTTGATTCGTATATCATCAGAATCATCGAGGTACACATGCTTCGGTTTCGTCCGATGTGGAGTTTCCTTTATTCAATAGGTGTCCTCCCGATTCTACATGGAAAGCGGACGGGGTTTCCATGATCGAGGAACAGTCAGTGCTCGATTGTGTAAAACACGCCTTAGTGAACTTTCTTTCCTCTAGTCCAGCGGTTTTCAAACTTTTAAGTCTCACGTCTCCCCTAAGCCTTATGAGGGGCGCTCGCGTCTCCCAAGGAGATCACCGTATATCTGAGAATGTAAAGTTTCGACCTGAACTTTCGGAGTGCCGTTCTCTCCATGGGATATGGCTACCTCGATGAATCGTACAATGATTAAAGACTTGTAGAAGAATTGTAGACTAGCAATGAGCTGGGTGGCGTCACTGAGACGAAAAATGGATAGGTTGGGAATTCTAGGGACCCTCCGCGTCTCCCCTCCTCCTCCCGCGTCTCCCCTGAACTTCTCCAGCGTCTCCCTAGTTTGAGAAACGCTGCTCTAATCAGTCATTGAGGCTCTCGATGTCCATACTCGATAGCACACCTCCCGACGCCGCGAAAGCCATTCCGAATCGCGGAACAGTACCGAAGATGCTGGAGTCGAATGGATCGAAGGATTTGAGGCAGAGGCTCCTAAGAGATATCTACGAAGACCAGACGTTGTGACCCTACCGGGCCATGTCACTTAAGTCAGTGGCGTAGCCAGGAATTCTTTTTGGGGGGGGGGCGGAATTTTTCTCGAACTTGTGGGTAGGCTCACAGAATCATCGGATCTCCGTCTCATATCGATGGGAAAGTCATGATTCGCTAGCAGCAATCGATTTTTTTACAAAAAATCGAAAGAGCAAGAAAACGTTGAATTCAAAATGCCAGGAGGTCTACCTCCGTCACCGCAAAGAGGTAGAGTAGAACAAATGGAAGGCACAAAACAATCTACTGACAATGAAAGGTGACTACACTGGCTGGAAGGCCTTCTCGACTCACAACATTAAGTTCATTCGGCGCTTTTGCTTGCTGGCGAATCTGTCGATTATGGATTCTTTGCCCCACTCATCGTCTCGATGGATGTTGGACACTCTCCGGAAGAAATTACGGGGGGGGGAACCTCCTCACCTTCTCGCCGGGCAACTTCTCCCCCCGAATATCTCGAGCTTTCCAGCCTATTTTGCGTATTATATGCCTACTCGCCTTCTGCTTCGCCGCTGAGCTCGGGCGTCTCGCGATCGGTCCGTCTATCATGTATGAAAGAAACGTTATTAACTAGTCCTCCAGAGTCGTTAACAACTCTCTGCACCCTATCGAGTTTCCTGCCTATAGCACTGTTCATGCTATTCGCTTCTGGTCGCTGCCATGAACTTCAGAGTGATGGACTCACAGAGCACTCCGTTTACGAACGGGGGAAGGGTGACCCTGACTTTCCGCTTCCCCGTCTCGTGATCGATCTCGGGAAATATAGAATGCGTTTCGTTCTCCCATGCACCTGATACCCGATTCCTTCAAAGGTCGATTCAACTATTTCATCGAGCAACGGCGGGATACTGTTGCTCCGGATAAGTCTACTTTTCGTCACGATTACTTCGCATAATAAGCTGATTTTTCCAGGCGTTGTCGCAGTTCCGTTCAGGTCCGAAACTCCCTTGGAAACCCGATTTCAATACCCCATTCAAAGGCGGCATGGAAAAATTCCCCCTGTGGGCCGGTCGCGCTGCTCCATAATTTGCAGAACCAGATCTGCGACTCGCATTCTGGAAGAAGTAAGGGGTGAGCGCTGGTGCATATACTAATAGGAAAGAGCGCAGCGGTGGGATTGAAAGACGGGATTTGATAGTTTTTCCCCAATTTTCGATTGGGTCTCGAGAGTCTACTGTGGAAATTCCGGCGGTAATTGGCGAGACCTACATTGATTCGCGTACGAGATTTCCATTCTACCAGCGGAAACCTCATCATAATTTGTGTCGCATTCGCAGAGTTATTAGATGTCAAAAGCGGACAAGATTTCGTTACACGAAGACGAAGTTTAGTTGGAAATACCCCTCATTCAAGTCAAAAGTCTGTTCTAATTCCGTTGATCTGAATCGCTGAATTTCCGGAGAGACACTCTCATGATCGCCCCAGGGTTCTTTGTCGGATCCGCATATTGGCGACCCCGTCACGACTCTAGCAGGAGAGGGTCTCCACCTAGATTATTAGGGGAGCCGAGATCATTGACTTGGGTTCAATTCTTTCTTTTTTGTCCCTCCACTCGAGGTTTTTAGCAAAATGAGATGAAACGGGGAGCCGATCGGGAATCCTCTTGCATGAAAGGTACTTGAACGAGTTCTTTATTATACAGAGAACCGAGCGAATCTCAAACCTGTCTCTTAAACGAATATTCCTAACGAGACTCTTGCTTTCTTTATTCCGGCGGAGGATCGGGAATCTCGTAGCCACAAGCAGCCATCAAGCCGTTGAGCCAGAAGCTTGGCTTCCAAAATCTGAACCTCTTCCAGGAGAAGAACCTCTCCAGTTCCTGCGACAAGACGTCTTCATCCGCTGTCGGCTCCGCCGATCTAGCGAAATCACGGTTATCCGATATTTGAGGGCCTCGCCATTCGTCGTATCTCGCCATCCTTGCTCGCCAAGTCTCTTTGTCAACAGCATAGTAAAATCCTAGTCCTGAGCCGACTGAGATTACGGTGTACCAAACTCCTGCCTTCAGAACGGTCCTGGAAAGATCCAAATTAATACAAGCTCACCTACGGAGGGTCGACAGGAGTGGGACCTGGTGAAATTCTTAGCATTGAACTGCATTTAAAGCTGGATTTCTCGTGTGCGGGGAGCGATATCTCATCATTCATAAGTAGGTCAAGTGGAAACCCCTCATCGCGGCGGGCCCCGGGGCGACCTCCAAGTGCCTCTGTCGACTCTGGATCAGGGGCGTATATGTATAGGATTTATTTTGGGAGGGGCCAGCAAGGTTTTTGGGGGGGGCAGAATCATGATGATGATGATGATCCCCATAGACCGCAATGTACGAAGGCGGCATTTCGGGGAGGGAGGCGATTCTCCCTTATATACGCTGCTGCTCCGGAAGCCTCCTGTCGGAGGACCGACTCCTGGGAATACCCACTCTTTGAATCCCTCCGGATCATCCGAGAGAGGTCTATATCAGCAGAGAGCTCTTGGGTGGAGCGGTGGGCTGCGACTCATAGAGACGCGGATGATCACGTCGAGTCTGAGCCCTTGTTGACATCACGAGGTTGGCTCCCCTTTTAGAACTTCAACCGGAGAAGGTAAGCATCGATTTTGGGAGATCGCTCATCGCGATCGAGCTCGGTGGAGGTACTAACCTATGTGCGAGCGTTCCTCGCAAGAACCGTCTCCTACTCGAGGCTCTGTATGGTGGCTTGAGCGGGTCCTGGTAGTTGATAGCCATCTCCCAGGGAAAGAAACAAACGGGATTAGAGTTCCGCGCACCCAGACAGTAAGGGCCGTCAGGGCTAGGGCATGCAGCGAGAAAGCAGTCAAAACATAATATTTACGAGAGGGTGTTGATGTTTCTCTTGGCAGGCAGACGACGACTGCGCGCGGCAGATTTTGAACACAAGGTCCCCCGGTTCCCCCGACGATTCCTTGCAATGTGAGTCCCTAGTAAGATTGCGATTCAATCCTAATCCTGATAGATGCCGATTATCTCGTTTAGCTCTATATTCGAATCGTACACGAGACTGCTGTCTCTCATCCGACGCTCCGAAACCTCAACAAGCGTAATGCATATCGGAGGCTGGAAGCGTTCCTTGTTCATCGTGATAATGGCCTCAGAGAGTTGTACATCGAGGAATCATTTCTACTCGAGAATTCGAAGTACGCGAGCGAACGGTGCGCCGGATCGATCAAAGTGAACTTTGCCGATCTAGTCCCGAGCGTCTTCGCACAGGGATTCCTAATCGTTGTCGATCTCCCTCTTGATGTGAACCCATGGAGCACCACCTCAGAGCCTATCGCGAATTCCTATTCCTTTTTATTGGATCCTATTCCTTGTCACAAGCCGTCGATGCCTAAATTAGAAATGAGACCATTTCCGCGACGGAGGCTGCCTGTAGGGGTGGTCCGTGACGGCGCATGGTTTCTTATGGTTCGAGCTGGGGCATGACCAGATACTTGAGGGTCTCCACAATATGCTTACTCGTGAATTGAGGATGTGACCATTTGCGACTTATTTCCGGAATCCGTCGAAATCGACGGGATTTTTGGTTTGAAGCTGAAAATCGGATGTTATATAATGCTTCAAGCCTACGTGGCCTTCTGAGAGGAATAATCCAGAGTCCGCCTCGTTTAGGTCTGGGATTCCGCGCTTCCGTTCAGGCGTCATCACGAATCACGACGAGTGGCTGAAGATTTAGCATGAACGCTTGCGATCCGGATATCTTTGCAGGTATCTCAACATATTTTCTCGAGCTCCGACCCGTCAGGAGGAAGTTTGGCTTAATGTCATGCTCAGACACCGCAACAGGGGAACGATGCTTGACTTGAGCGAGCGGGTCAGCCGCCTTGATGGACTCGAGCGATCGGAACAGGCCCCGTCCGAGCCCATTACAAGTCGGGGATTCAATCAAGAAATAACGTAGCCTCGAAGACGAGGACTTGCAACAAAAACTTGGCAGCCCAAGATCTTGTCGCTACTCTATCCAGGCTTTCGCGGCGGATCTAATTCGTAATCTCGATCCCAACATTTTGCTCGACTGAACGGACAGACCATTCCCCTCAAAGGATGTCCGTCTCCGGTGATATGCTAGCTGCCCGTGAAGGAAGAAGGGCGATCGATACGCTTAGGCGATCGCCTGTTAATCGCGTAGTTTCCAGCCCAGTGGTGACCTCGAAAGCGGAGATATCGACAAGTTCCCAGCCCTATAACGGTCTCTTATGTGTAGCATGAGGGTGCCATCTCATGATGGAGATTAATATCATTGGGGGGAGATATGGCACGGGCGCAAGCGGAACGAGCTGAGAGCTCCTCCAGCAGGGGAGGAAACATCAGTGCAGATTCTGATGAAAACTCAGCATGGAGCGGCGGATTCAGGCGGCGACCGTGTGATCTTCTAAGAGCCAATGGGTGTTGGGACCTATCTCTCAAGATTTGCCACGGATGATTTGTCGTAGTGTCAAATACTCTGAGCTTGAGGCTGCAGAAGGCAAGACACGCTTTCGGCTCCATTCCGAAACCTGGCGAACTCTCTCTCCGAACCGCACTATCGCTCTTCAGCATAAAGATAGCCCCAGTCGCCTCCTACGGCATTCAGCTCATCTGGGAGCATCTAGAGCAGACTCATTTTGAGAGATTCGATAAGCTCAAGGCGAGCTATCTAAAGATTATCCTCGGGGTGCATCGTTCATCCAGAAATCGGCTCGTTTATCTCCTGGCGGAAACTCCGCTGTTCACAGAGGAACTCCGAAAACAGTACCGCCTGCCGATGACCGCAACCTTCCGGAAACACCTCGAGACCTGGCAGGAAAAATTCTCCGACATCAACGTGGATTTCCTGAGTACTCCTGCGATGACGAACGACTGCTGGAAACAACAAAAGTTCGGCAACAGGCACCGCCTGACCAGAGGAGCAAGCCATGGTTTTCACTTCCAGATCTGTCGAACATCAAACGCACACACTCCGAACGAGGACTGTTATTGTGAGCTCTGCGGTGCAAGCTGCCCAGAGTATCATTTTTACCATTGTAGAAATCAGAAGAATTTCAAGTGGAACGACGCCTGACGGCGTTTCTAATATATGCATTCTTGCCTTCACACCATTAGATGGTAAATAAAAGCAAATTTTCGATGGAGCGTAACAAAAAAAAATACTCTGAGCTTGTGGAACATGTCAGTCGATATCGTTCCAAATTCTTGTGCTGGAGAACGCGCCGGCCCGTCAAGCTTGGGGCCATGCTAGGACGCGAATCGATCTGTTTGACAATCTGTGTCCGAATGGAGAAGCTGATTTGGGGCACTGCATCGTCGGCTTTTCTGTTGGCCGCAACGCTTCGGGAGAACTTCGGAGTAGGTGAGCCGCCGTCGCCAGAGTTCGCAGCCTCCTTGTATGTTTACGACTCCCTGCTGAGCCTCAAGAGCACCTCCGAGGCTGTTGACTTCGTCGATCGGGCATTAGCTGCCGCTAAGATATCACTGACAAAATGAAAGTCTAACTCTGAGAAGATTAAGCAGCACCTGACCGACACTGAAGTCGATCCAGCGGCTTTGAGGACCGAGGGATCCGATCTTCTCAAGGTTCTTGGCCTGTCTTGGAGCCCGGGTTTATGACGTCTTCCGTTTCTCGCTGACGGCTTCAAGTTAGCGTGTTCGAGGGAAGAACCTTTCAACAAAGCGGGGAGTTCTGAGTGTGGTCGCATCGGTTTACGATCCATTACGATGGCTGTTACCCTAAGTCATCCGAGGCAAGCTCAAGGAAATATGGAGCGGCGATCTCGAGTGGAATCAGGTGGTCTCAGAAGATTTTCGAGAGGAACTGTCGCAATGGATCACCGAGGCGGAGGTTTTCGACGGAATTATCTTTCCTAGACGATATTCCCCGTCCGACAGAAGGCCTGATGGATACCGACTTCATGTATTCGGGGACGCGTCACCCAGAGCGTATGCCTGCGCGGTGTATATCGAGACGCGGTCTCTCTCCCACGTTTGGAGCTGCGCGCCGCACTGATCGCGGTCCGCTTGATAAACTCCCTGGTGGAGCGAATGCGCACTCCGTTCGAGACTATTCATTTCTACACGGACCGCAGGTGGAAGGCGGCGACCTCGAGCTAATTCGCAAGGAGATTCGCAAGGTGGTCGCACCGATAGTGGTGAGTCGGCCCACTTCGACCTCCAAAGGCACAGCTCAGCCGGCCGAGCGATCCGAGTTCTTTCTAACGTGTTGTTGTTCGCGCTCCGGGCACGACGTGCGCCTACCCCGGCAAGAAATATCCTGAGGAAGAAAGCCGAAATCATACTCATCCGCGAAACTCAGCGAGAGTACCTACTTCCAGAACGAAATTTCTTCCAGCCTGGCTGGGAACGCATCGAAACTCAATATATTCGATCTCTTCTTGGACGACGAAGGACTCCTCCGTGCGAAGACCAGACTCATAAAGGGTCCCTTCTATACATTCGAAATGAATGACGAAATGAACCCGATCGTCCTCCCAGGGGAATCCCATCTCGCGCTGCTCCTTATAATTGACGTCCTGCGCATCAATGCTCATTGTGGGGTCGCGAATGTCCTCTCGCAAAAAACGTCGCTTCTGTGTCACCCGCGGTAGAGAAATCATAAAGGCTATCCTGCATCGTTGCATAACCTGTCGCAGACGCCACTCGAGACCAGCGCAGCAAATCGAGGCACCTCTACTCGCATCAAGAGCAAGTTTCGAGGCTCCGTTCAACACCCGTGGCCTGGATTTTTCGGACCCTTTTACGTGAGAAATCGTCAAGGCTCTCTTAAGGTGTACGTCGCCGTATTCACGTGTGCCGCGATCCGCGCTGTCCACCTCGAGCTCGTAAAATCTCAATCAAACGCTTCCTCGCTGCACGGCCGGCGTGCAGGCGGATAATCTCGGACAAGGGGGCCTTCTACGTTTTTTCGCCGCTACCGACATAGAACACCTTTCTCAACTCCGTGAAAAATCATCCCGAGGTCCGTGAGTTCCTGGCCCGACGCTCCATAGACTGGAACTCCACCTGTCCCCGATCCCCGTGGCAAGGGGGTTCTCCGAAAGGGCGGTCGGTCTGTTAAAATCCGCTCTCATCAAGACATCGGGCCGCAGTCTTGTCGGGTCTGAGGAGTTTCGGACCATTTTGTGCGAAATGGCTGGTGTGATCAACGAACGCCCGTTGACTCATGTTTCCTCCGGTGTTGGCGCGCCAACTGCCATCAACCCCGCACATTTCATGCGGGGTGGCCCGCAGTATCCGCAAGTCGCCCCGTTGCTGCCAATAGATCAGATGCGCAGTGATGAACTGATAAGCCCTGGTGACCTGCGAAGGGACCTTGCCAGTCGTTCGACCTATTCAAAAAAAACTCTCGGTTCCTGTGTGATAAGCCTTAATTAATCCACATCCCATCGACCTGATGTACTTAACTTGTGATTTTAGTCGATGATTGCCCGCAACTACGAAGACTAATATGCCGGTCTGAGAATCGTAATATGTAATTTCACCTCATTGCTATGACTCGTCACTCAGGTACTCGATGCCCGATCATATGGATTGTAAATACTGTAACTTAACTTCAGACCTGGGGAACGCTGACTGTGAGCGTTTCGGGGTTGGGTGTCAAATACTATAAGCCTGTGGAACATGTCAGTCGATATCGTTCCGAATTCTCGCGCTGGGGAAGCACCCCCTTACTCTCTCAGGTTGAAGAGATCGTGTGTACAGGTGCCAAAAAGGAAGAGAGCCACACGGTGGCCCGAGTGATGACGCATAATCCAGTCTTTCTCCTGTTATCGATTCATTCCGGAAGTACCCAAACTAGGTCGTCGTCAGTACTCCACGGCGTCTATGATAGCTCGAGATTTACGCTATACTCTGAGAGGAAAACGATAATCCAGTTTTCGAATCCTGAAATAAGTCCTCACTGTCTTAAATATCGCATCGCTTTGGTCAACTGAGAATCGAGACTCTCCGATGCTGCGCATCCCCAGAAAACTCCGGACCTGAATCAGAAAACTCCGACTGGGCGAGAAAAGCAATTTTTAGCATCAAAATGACTCGAGAAATCTGCGCAACAGAAAAGCGGCCCGTTAAGCTTGGGCCATGCTAGGACGCGCATCGATTTGATTGACAAGTTTGGTTGGACATCGATTATGATTTGGTTTTATGCCAGTCGTGTTATTCGGCAGACGTTTTTTTTCGTCCAAGATATCTTCCCTGATTGATTCCTCACACAATGGTGCTCTGTTTTGGAATTCTGCGTCACCTGTCCACCGACTCGTTTTGTTGAGCCCATTCTCGAAGGTTTGTTTGCTCGTCGTCTAATGGGAGGCCTGCTCGAGATTCAAAGCCCAAAAATGATGGGAGACGTAGAAGACTTTTCGTTCTAGAATCTCCGGTGGCGAGGTGTTATGATGACAAATGCGGGTCAGCATTCCTCTCGGGGAGAGCTCGGAAAATCTCACAGTCGAGAGCGTAGATCATCTCGGGCGAAGAAATCCGGAGACTCTCTCGGCGATCCAATAAAACCGGCGTAAGTTTGGTTTCAGATCCCTGGAAGCCTTCAAGCGCTCCTGACCGATTGTCGCGGCGGGCAAGTAGAGCATAATAATCACACTAGGAATCATACTACGCGTAAATATCGAACGGCTTGCTGCCCATCTCCGGATTTTCCAAATCAGTCAGAGTGAGCCTCCGCGTTTCCTTTCTTTTGAGTCGGTGTTGCACGCTTGATCGACCGCCAGCGGAAGCTGCCGCTTATTCATAGCGGTCTTGCTCCAACACTGGTGACTTGTTTATGCAAAAGTATTCAACGACCACCTGGAAGAAGGGAAGTCGCCGTAAGAGGGCTGGGCGACGGATAGAGAACGACCTTGGATGGCGGAGATCGCCCGAATGATGGAAAGATTCCGGCCCAGTGAACTCAAATAATCGCTCTCTCCGGACGCTCTCTTTCATCCCTGATCCTGGCCTTCTGGATGTTGGAAGAGCTCTACCATGGATCGAAATGTTCCTGAATGGAAGCTGACTAGTCGGAGGGAGATCGAGTTTTTTTTGAGAGTGGATGTTTGCGCTCCCAAAATCAGTCGAGGCTACCGAAGGGTGCCAGCGCCCGAGCAGGCGTTTGTCACGGAACCTGAAGTCCAGCTCATCTTCAGTCATACAGCCTTATCATTTTGATTCTGATTGTGAGTGCAGCCACGGAAGGTCAATGATCGGGGAAGTCAGACACCGAAAGCTTGGTTCCTCGGCCAGCGCTCCCCCAATCGAATGAAACTTGTCGGTCTCGATTGGCATTCCTGTTCAACTCATTCGTCGCCGGTACGCGATGCAGATCGAAGCGAGAGTCGAGGAATGCAGGAGAGCGACTGCAGGTACAGTCAGATGAGCGAAAGCGTACGATCTCTTTGGGACACGTAGGTGCCGATTGCTCAGAGCGTCGACAGCTGGAGTTCTTGGTCAGCTTCGGAAACTCACTGGTGGAACCGTTTCAATTACAACCTATGGTCCTCGACCTACGACGAGTGTACGAAATTCGGGCTCCTCTTCTTTGAAAGTTTGTACATAGGTGGGGCTGAGTCGATCCGCATATCACTTGCAGATTTGCGTCCACCGTCGTGGAAGGTCGCTAGTTTGGTCGCTTGGAGCCTGCATACTCCTACGGAACTCGGAAATGCATTCCATACCTTGCCTCTCCTCCTCTGCAACATATTACCATTGGCTCCACTCGTAAGAGAATCGTATATGACACGAAGCCGCGTAAAGGAGGAAGTTTCGTATTTCCGAGTTTCCTCTTATAAGCTCTGCTCACTTGGAATCCCTCGTCCACTAACGAATGTTACGGTCGAAACCCTTTCTGGCTGACCAGGCCTCGCCCGACCTCCACTGTAGAAATGGAGTCGTCGAGGAATGACGAAGAGCAAGAAAGTAAGCCGGAGGATATCTCCGACGATCGGAGAAAGTTATCCGGGCCCCGATGTCAAGCTTCCATCGCCCTTTATATTCGCTTCTGACTGAATTCTTTTTTCGTCCCAAGCTCCTGGAGTACCGTCCTCGCGAGCTCCGAGGGTTCACTTCTCGCCTAACACTGGTCGGGTACGGCTTCATAAGTAGAGAGCATCATTCTCCGGGCGATTTTCTCAGGACATGGATGTCTTTCACAAAATCAAGTCGAATAATTTCTCATCTATTCGAAATACGGCTCCAGTTGAGCCGTCCGGATCACGACGTAGCGAGCATGAACAGCAAGCAGCAGTGAAGAATGACAGCAGCTGGTGCATTCACGTCTATAATTTTGTATATCATCTCATGGCCAGGCTCGGGAAAGAGACCGGGACCACGGATGGGAATACTGGGAATATGTCGCTCAAATGACTTCAACTAACTCATCTAGCATTACGGCGATTAGTGTCGAAAACCCAAAGTCCCGCTGCAGCGGAGGCGCTCGGTGATCTCGTCGTGTTTCGAAGTAGGTACTCCCAGCATACCTTGTTCCGCTGAAAGGAAACCAGCAGCCCAAAGCGCAGCACCTCCCAACGGTCGTTCGTCCTATGGTGTTTGTTGAGTGCACACTCAACGCGTTCTTCTCCAATCGAAGTCGTTTCTTTAACGTGAGATAAATAGCGTAGAAAAATAAGGAGATCAGCGCTCGCCGATCGTTGTCGTTGCATGAGTAGGACCTGCTTTCAGCGGTGTCGACGATGACCACCACCGCCACCCGCCACCTTTTTGACGGTTGCAGTGGTCGTCGAACACGGTCGATGCCGAAGTAGCATCGAAGTCAGTACGAAGCGAAGGATGTACAACGGCGAGTGAGATGGCTGGCAGGCGGGCTGGCCGGCCGGACAGCCGGCCGTCCAGAAAGCACGGCCCTCAGCGTTGAAGAAGTCGTCTCGGCCATCTATCGGCGACGAAGTAACCCTTTCCCGAATTTTCGATGTTATTCTTAAACGGCACTAATTCTTAGATCGGCGCCGGTCTTCACTCGCAGTGGCGAATCCTCGCCGAACGGGTTGTTCGATCGCGCGCCACACTCATACACAAACACGCACACAACTCAGCAAGCATCGGAATATCTTTTCTATCCTATTCCAAGGAGACAAACTCCGTATGCCGGACCGTACACCGCTCCGCTGGCACCGGATGGACTTCAGCTTCCGAATCAAGTGTTGAACGCTGTGTTGTTGAACATCGGGTTCAGGATCGATCGAGTTTATTAATCGACTTGGTTAATCAGTGGTTACGTGATTGGACGATCTGGACACTACTTCTCAGCGTGGGAATGTCCGTTGCTACAACGGATAAACAATCACTGTAACGGTACGTAGGGGAAGAAGTCTGTCGAGAGCTCACTCACTCAGGGTCCGAGTATCATTAAATGGTATACCGAGCGTGACAGCCTGGTGAGGACACGGCTGATGGGACAATTTTCTGAAGGATTGACAGCGCGCACGGCGGTCAACGAATCTATCCCTGTCGCGAGTCCGAACATTGGCCGTTTAGAGTTGAGACTTTGCACGTCACGAGCACGTGTCTCGCACTAAGCGAGTGACTGATATAGGCACATTGACGTGACAGCGGGAAGTCGTGTAAGTTCTCTCGAATTCGAGCCCAGCTCGTTCTAAGTTGTTGTTGTTGGGGGAGGTCGTGAACTTCAGAGTGGTAGAAGAAGACTGGGAAGGAATCTCACACTCTGGGACAAGTCCGGTATGGGATGTGGATCATATCTCCCCTCAGAGGAGAAAGGAGTTCTGTCAAGCTCTTGTTTATGATCCGATTAGAGAATTTCACTCGAAACCTCGGTTCCCACGTGGAAATTCCAAATCTGGAGTTGGCAAGACTCCACGAGCCCGAAAAGCGTTCCCTCTGGGAGCTCGGATACCTCCGGCGGAGAAGTAGACAGCAGACTCATATCCTCATACCCCCTTCTGGCACAGAGCTCTCGAGCGGGCACCAAACTCAGTGTGCCGTAGTTTCTGCGCTGTGGAATTTTTCGGTCAAGACGCTGGGTGAATGATTATAACCCGATTGGTCCCTGGTCTCGGCCCTGCACGGCTCTGAGACTAATCCCAGACTCGGGGGTCCTTACGATGATCGACAGAAGAAAATCAAAACCTCGATGGGAGTCTTCCCGAGCTCGCGAGATCAGCTGGACACCACTTGAGTCGATGATACAAGGAAACTTGGATTTTCGAGCCCGATCCGGGCGCAAGTGACCGTGAGAATCAGAGCGCCGAACAGTGCGTTCGGCTACCGGATTGTACGTGGCTTAGAATATTCGGTATAGAGTTTCAGCCAAGACTCCATAAATCTCCCGGAGTGCCTTCGGAGAAATTAAAGCCTTCTCTAGCTTCTTCCATCCATAGGTCCGATAACCCGGATCAAGTTGCAGAATTCACGGTCGATCCTTTTCAAAATTCTTCTCCATCGGATCACCCATGTCCCTCCCATCTCACTCGGTTCTAGTCAGGGAAACAGAGATTTCCACCCCCTGTTGCCGACGCCTACCACGCGGGAATCGTGTCCTTACTTTCGAGATAGGTGTTTGGCGAAACTTGAGACTCTGCTCAGAATCGAGGAATTCGATGTCGACAAGAAAACATCGGGTGGGCTCGCTAAGAGCAGATGCTTGTGGCGTTCCATGGTCGACTCTGAAATTCTGGACTCGGCATTGCCCAGCCTCTTGTAATGAGTGCCAGCCCGATCGTCGTCGGAACGATATTGCCGAAGAGAATTCATTTTCGCTCAGTAACCCAGTATTCGCAAGTCGGATATGCCACGGATGACGCTTTCTGGTCAGATTTCTTTCTTGCTCGCGGACAGTCCGGGCTACAACACGAATATCGCGGAGTGTTCGCCGCAGTTTTCGCATGTCGATACCGGCTCGGTGCCGTGGCTCGATGAAAACATTTTTTGAAAATTTCGGATCGCTCGAAAGCCGAATGTTCAAAGGACTCGGAGAGGTTTCCTAGAAATCCACCGCTCTCGGAATCTCAGAGACGAACGAAAGCCCAGTGTTCTCGAGAGCATTCCCCCTCCCCGTGATTCTGAGTTTTCCGGAGGTTTTCCTGATTCTAAGGAGAGGGAAAATATTCTCAGAATCATTCGCAGTAATCTCGGATTGATCCTATCGGACTTCCATGCGTTCGAAGCATCGTGGTTTTTCTCCGGTGACTTCAGGAATCTTCTCGGGCTGAAATTCGAATTGATCGGCTAACGAATGGAATGTGCTCTTTCCAGGGACTGTCTGGTGGAAAATTGTCGCCATGATGGATCTGGCCGGAGCAACGGACCTCAGCATGAACGGAGCTTCTCCGCGGCCAAATCACGTCCAGCACGGCGGGCACCCCTACCGCCCTCTCGATGAGATGGGGCATGAGCAGAAAACTCGCTTGCCCAACTGGACGGAGGAAGAAAAAAATGTGCTCATCGTCGAGGTTCGAAGACGAGCCGCCGTGCTTACAACTCCTCGTGCCAAAGGAATGTCGCACTTGAAGGAAAAAGCTTGGGAAGAGATCACGCAGGCGGTCAACGCCGTCCAGGCACCCGGGAGTCAGCTGAGAAACGCTCAGACCTGTCGCAAGAAATGGGAGAACCTCAAGCTGTATGCGAAAAAAGCTCAAAAAGAAGGAAGGAGTGAGTACTGATTCCTGATCTAGCTTCTCTTGGAAATGGGCGCTCGTTGGCAATAATTGTCCTCCACCCTCTCAGGAGACTTCGGAGCGCAGGGGAGGAGGCGGATGCGATACACACCCAGGGGTATAGATCCCGATATACTCACGCGGAGCATCCTATTATTATATTCTCGCTCAGACGCAGCGACCTTACATCGAGGCGGAGGAATTCTAAGCGGAATATGTCGTTACCCCGAACTCGAGCGACGACTCAGTTTCGTTTCGCCTCACAAATCGCGCGGGGGTTCCCGGTCGCATCTCAGATTTTGAGTGTAACTCTTGGAGAACGAAGCTGTCCTTGCAATGGGTCATTTCTTTTTGTGTTGAGATACTTCTGCGAGGTATCACCTCTCAGGCTTGATCGGAGGGAACCGTCTCTCCGACTTTCGGCTAGCGGATGTCAGATCGAGTGAATTTTCTGTATCGAGCACCCTCGAAAATCTGCGCCGTTCAGTAAATGATTTTGTACTCGGTAGCAGGAGAAGTCTTCCGAGGAGTGACGGAAGAGCGAGTTCTTCCTCCTTGATAGAATTCATGCACCGTAGTGAGCAGGAAGAAGGGAAAAACACGGAGCAGACTCCCGATGCCTTAAGAACTCAGTTCCACAGAACGCGCGATAAGGAATCGTCCGCTTGGAAACGTTCGAAGAGCGAAGATTTTCCTCCGAAGTGACCGCTGACGCACCCAGTGACTTCATCGCAGCGGCATGAAGACCAGCGGCATCATCCGTTTAAGGGTTTTCGTTCGTCACCTACTTCGGCCGTTTCGACGAGCATGGTTATTCCGCGCGAGAATTCCAACGAGGGGGTTGGACGGATACAATGGAATACACATGCTGCCTGACTCGATGAGCGGAAGGCGTGGCAGCTGCTTGACCGTCTGCCTCCCGTGCTGCTTCAGTCGAAGCTCGCTCGCTCCTTCGCCTCATGCATTTTCCACCGTCGGCGGCGCTTAATGAGAAATCGCCGAAACGATCCAGGCTAGCCCGGTCGGCGAAAATTGAACTCCCTCGGGGATGACTCCGAGCGGACGTTGGCGTTTCCAGATGCTCATCGCAGCGTCAAGCTCAAACTCGGCGCTTTCCTCGTTTCTCGTATTGGAGAGTCTGACGCTCGTTCCCAATGACGAGCGATGATCGCTCATCTTGTATTTCGGGGACTAGGAGTATCGAACAGGTGTCCGCGACGGCTTCACGAAATTTGGCGAGCTTGAGAATATTCCTCCCGTCGCGTCCTCGGACTTCGGCAGAAGCGCGAAGAGAACTCGTTCACGGATAACGAGATCAGCCTAAGCAGAAACGAAAGCGATGCGATCGGCGGTCTGAGAAATTCCACAGAACACTTACGTGCGTACGTATCTTCGGATAGCGATATGAAGACGATACCAGGCGGTCGCGGCGTTGCCGATGATGATGAGAGCCAAAGTAGCGGATTTCCCAGGAGAGCTGTTGTGTTTTCGAGCATTGGAAGAATCCTTTTCGTGCAGCGAGAATTAATCCGAACCGGTTACGTCGTCGCTACGGCTGAGGTCTGACTTGGAAGTCATCAACCCCTTGACGGAAGCAGCAGCCACGGCGGTGGCGCGTCTCCGAAAGCCGGGTATCCAACGACGTCATGCTAAGTATTTGGTCGTACGGGTTGAACCACATCGACTTTCTCTGACGATCCAGCGAGCCGAGCTGATTGGCTTCGGTCGTACGTACCGACTCTTCTTTTCGCTGGCGCGGATAGAGACGCTCCGAGTATATCCGGCGGATCTGGGCAGAACCCTGGCCGCAAGCTGCAATGCGGACTGGGGCTCGCGAAAGCAGCGCCTGAGCTCCTCGGTCTGTGACATCCGGACGGCGTCTTGATGGAAGCTCGTCGCTTATTCGGGTCCTTATGCGGAGCGCCTTTGATCGCCCTCCTTTTGAGGTTGCAGGGTGCTATTCGTTGGGCTCCCCGAGAGAGGACGGAATCGATGAATCAAGCTTCCTCTGTCTCGTTCCATGTCGGGAAGCCGAATCATCATCAGTCCCCCTATGCTGGGAAGGTCGTCGATGACCGTTCCTCCATTCCTATAGCTATTTCCTCATCGCAAACCGTCCAGTCCGCCCTAATCTGAAATATGTTTGGCGCAACGCTGACTCGAGACTCAAAAGTCAGGACAACTGATCTTCGGTCTGATTCTCTCGAGTTTTTGAAAGGGTCAGCATCGAACAATCTGTTTCCGTGCCGTCGACGCAATTCATCCATTCACTTCATCCCAGATCGGAATCTAGGATGTGGGACTCGATTGCCCGATCCAAAATCATACGAGCGTGCAGCTTCAACCCAGCGATCCGATGTTTCAATCCCGAAAGCCTCCGTATAGAAAACTAGGGGAAGATGTAGGAGCCTGGCATGAACTGACGAGCGCTGATGAGTCACGATCTGATCGATTAAGATGATTCGGGGAAGAGTGTGTTTGCCCGCATGACGTTGAGATGCTAGACTTTCTGACGACTACAATCAGAACTTCCCACTCGGGCTGCTTGAGTCACCGCATTGAGCAGCAGAAGAGGCGAGGAACAAAATAGTCAGGTCTTCCATGGAATCGAAGGGAAGCGCAATCTCATTCGAAGCTTGTCCCCACCAAACGCGCATCCACCACTCTAAGTATGTATTTATATGCGCAGGTTTTGAAGAGACCGATAGATAGATAGACAGACAGACCGACCGACAAAGACAAACTTGTGAATACTAGAGATGTGTCCGAATATTGTTTTCGTCCGCTTGACGGGCTGTGAGTGACGGGCAGACGGCTCCGGACACCCTTTGTTGGGCGAGCAATCGATCGAGACAGAAAAATCGAGGTAATTCCTCGAGAAAAGAAAGAAAATCGTGCCGGTCCTGACCATTGAGTGTCCGCCAAGTCCGAAATAGAAATTCCGAAGCCCAAACATTCGCTCGTCTTGACACAAACGGGGCTCCACCGGAACCGTCGTCATTTGAATAACGGCTGCCGAGGTCCAAGGAGTTTTTTGTCTGGGGAGTCTGTCAAGAATCTCGCTTTGCGCCGAGGGCCGCCTGGCTCAGGACCGGATGCGACGAGCATGGCGAAGTTGGATGATAGAGAGAGATGACAGAGGAGCACTTCTTATGGTACCCATGTTACAAGCGAATTTCATGCTGAATTCGATTCATGAATCATCAGAGGAGGAAGGGTTCGAACTGAATTTATCGTTTTCAACGGATCGGAGGACAGCTCAATTAGAAAAAAAAGAGAGATATGGGACTGATAACCGGAAGCCGACCCTGGCGCGCGGAATTTACGAGTTCGACTGCGATCGATCCTTGCCGCCAATTGGATCCAACATTACCATCCCTTGACCCGGAGACGGACCTACGCCGATTCCATGAATTCTCTCAATCATTATCCCGAGGAAGGCTCTGTTCGATCAGGACATTTCGGCAGCGAAAATCTGAGGCAGAGGGAACTCGGCGGAAACCGAGCTCGATAGGTTCCTCTTGGAAATCATCAGAATACCAAGGTCGACTCTCTGATTCCCTCCGAAATCTCCGGAAACTATTCCTCAGGGTCCATCAAAATCGAATCAGAAATCGGTTGAGGGAACCCAGTAGCTGCCTCAGCGCGCGAACGGTTGTCGAGCTTCGGCCGGCAAGTTCCGAGAGCAGCGCGTCTCTCAGCAGCGGCAATGGATAACTATTCATTCGTCCGACTTGATCGAGTGCGCTGCAAACGCCCGTAGCTGTTAAGTATCCAGAGAGTATGCGTGAAGTTGCAACATTCCAAAGCGCTTTCTTCCCCGTTTTCTTGAGCTTTCCTAGATTATGCTAGATAGGTGCTAGGATAAGAGACTCCCCTTAGTTCAGGAAGAGCTCGAATTCCGTCAACCGCCGAAGTGGAGAAAAGCTCGGCGATGCATAAGCAAACTTCTCCAAGCATGTGCTCGGTCCACTCTTATCCTCTTCCCGTGCTATGAGAGGAGCCGAGCACCGCGCCTTCATCCATTCATACAAAGACAAACTTGGAAGCCAAAGATGGAGGGTATCCGAAACAGATCGCGAAAGTCGAAGGAAATGGACCTCCTTGTTGTTTCACATGAAATGAAGTTCGGACTGAAGTCCCAGATCAATCCACTTTTATTCTTGGGAACGATTCGTAACTCTGGCGATAGAAAGCAGGCAACTTCTGGAGCTTTTTTTTATCCACATCGATTGCTCCTGCTCTCAAAATGCGAAACTTCGATAAATATTTCCCTCTCCCTGTGCAGATGAATCTCTCCGGTCATGAATTTATGAGCGGCAGAGACGATTCGATATTCAAATATCTGGGGGCGAAAATCAAGGCGTGAGACCTCTCAAATCAGAAATCGCTGTTTCGCCGTCGACTCAGCTAAGCCCGTTGTTCTTGTCGAAGTGTGCAAATTCTTGAGTGCGTACAAGCATCGCGATGACCGCGTGAAAGATATCACTTGGGAATGGCGTATGAGGAAACAGAGGGATTTTAGATAATCATCGCAATGAGGAAAGGTGTTTTAGGCAATGCCTTCGCCACCGCGAATTTCTAGAGGAAATCGTGAATGACGGCGTTCGGGAGGGTATGATAGAATAACACATCCGATGCTGCAAGAGGGCTTTTATCAACATCATGCGTATCTACGAGGAAAGTCTATAACTGAGAACCCATCTTCGACCTCGAAATCATTCGGCCACGATTCTGGAAGTCTGTTTCCATCGACCCCTCATTCGCTCACCAGAGTCTCCATTATCGCGAGCCCCGCGACCGCCGCCTCTACCATCGGGATGAGCCAGGTCGTAAATGTTTGCATTTCCTACATCGGTGTTATGAGCATCGCGTCGATGCTCCAGTCTCAATCTGCAAGTAGGGCTCCCTGATTCCTCTCCTGTCATTTTCCATACTTCGAATCTCGAACTCGATACGTTCGATACGTTTACTTTCTGAATCCTTTCTCCCGGTAGACTTCACCCTTGCGGACTTGGTTCCGCTCTCGATCAGACATCGCCTCGGAATGGGTGCGACGGGTAAATTCGCAGCTTAGTCGAGGAAGGTTCACATCATTCGACAACGCTTGAACGGGACTTGCAGTCAGCTCGAGCCCTTCGGGAGTTCATTCAGAGATGGGACTCCATTACGAGATCTGATCCCACGGAGGAAAATATGCGGATATCGTCTTCTCATCCGCGAGAGATCTCGGCTCAAATTTTCATACCTTCAGCACCACGAAGAGTTCTCGACTGACGCCCCTTTCATTCACAGATGACGTCACACTCTCGACAGTCTCTCAGCTCATCGGCAGCGACATGGATCTCAAAGTGTTACAAGCCACCCTGCAAGCCGTGCAGGGCACGTCGCCGTCACCGTCCCCAGGACCGATGGAAGGAGGTCCTGAGCCATTGGGTGCCATTTTCTCCGTCCTGTGAGTGCAGTTTACCTCAATTTTGAAACGGCTTACGCTTTGCTCATCTCTGACTCGTTTTCCTCGAGTTCTGGGGAACGGGCTCAGAGGGAGAACATTCAGGGAATCCGCTCTGCTATTTCTATCGATCGGCTCCAATGTTCGCGAGTATGATCGTTGTCGAATATCTAGGATTAGGAGGAAATCGCAGTTCGAATAAGCGATTTAGCCGGAAAGTCTCCCGATCCCTTGGAGGAAAACCATACTGGAGAGGGAGAGCTTTCCAAAGACGGCATCGCAGTCGCCGTGAACGACCATTTAGCTCCTCACGAATCCATGAATAATTATTGCATGAGAATGCGAACTAAACAAATAGTACAAACGAAGGAGAGAATTGGCTAGATATATGTGGAACAACAAATCATCGCAGGGTTTGGAATCGCGGTCGCGACTGTTACTTTTCCCTCCAGTCCAAGAAAAATCGAAGCCTTTCCTCGCTGAACTGGAGATTAGTTAAGACGTCGACGTTTCGATGCGTGCGAAAGACAAAAACTACTTGACCAGCGGCGACACGAACCGAAAACCTGTTTCCAAGAGCTTCAACCTGCGCATATCTGATTCTCGGCAACAAGCTGGTTAGCTATGTAGACCACATGGATTTTGTTTCCTTCCCTGGATCTGACTTCTGGAGATAAGTGGAAAGCGCCCAGAAAAATGTCAGACAGCCCGCGAGGCCACCGCAGTCGATCCAGAGTCAATTTCATCATAAGGAGTGATCCTCCCGAGACTGATGGAAAATTCGGGTCGATGAACTGTACTCCGCGAAAGAAAGTATTGCGATGACTCGCAAACCCAGCGTATCTCCATCGCTATGCGCTGACTCCATGGGTGAGCGAAGGGCAACGTCGATTGCAACGAGCCTGAATCGACCCTTCCAAAAACGACACCTCCCGCAGGGCATCCACCCTGTTCGTTGAGTTTTTTGTCTCCTAGAGTTTGGGCTCCGAGGCGCTCAGAAGCATACTTTGTGTTTGGATCGTTGCGAATTGAGATCTTACGAGGAGATTTCCTGCGACACCGATTAGGGAATCGAGTTAATAAATGAGGGCGGATAAGACGGGGTTCTTGCTAACGTACCAACTAATGAAGTCTCGCACCTATGGGACCTTTCCTAACCCTTAGACCCGATAAAGGGAGAGAAGTTCTTCGTGAAAGGCACCGATGAGAAAATTCCTTGTGCGAGACCTTGGAATCGTCGGTCGCAGCGCGATCTAGAATAGAAATCGGCTCCTTGGTTCTCTGCAGGTAGAACTCCCACGAAAATCGAGCCGACTAGCGCTCATTTTCGATTCGCACCATCGATCAATGGATTAGATCGGACGACCAGCCTTATTATTGAAATTGGTCCTCCTAATCCGATTCGGGGAGGTGGGAAGGGAAATGATTTGGACGTCGGAAATTCCTCTCCGGGATGGGGGAGTTGGATCACTCGAGAACAATGGTTGATCCAGCACGACATCGACGACTACTTCGAGGAACATTCATCCTGAGCTGACGGGGAGAGACATCCCGACGCAGGGGATTACCTTCCATACCGGAGAAGGCAGTTGCTTCGGAAGGGTCGACTCCATCATTTCCGAGGCGAGTTCGAACGCGATTTTTTTCGAACAATTATTGGTTCTTGGCCAAGAATTCTCCGAGGAATCTCGATAGGATCTCGATCACTCTAGGGGCGGACCTCGGAGGAAATTCTGACGGAGCGGCTGAGTGTCGGGACGGATCTTCTCCTTTCCGATCTTCCCGAACGTACAAAGAGAAACAATGCATTGCGTTCTCGCGCGCGCTCACTTAATCTTCTCGCAGGCGGTTGCGCATTCCGCTGACGAAGTCGCTTGTTGGTGAAAGTGACTTCTTCACGACGCACAAGACATTTCCATGTCATCTACATAATAAGACAATCCGAAGTGTGAGATCGTTTGAGAGACCATTATTCTCGCGTGTCTGAACGCCGTGGGAAACGCTACCGTACGGATTCCCGTTCACCGCGGGATGCACTCGTTTCCTTTCAATTTTTCCGACTTCGGCAATAATTCGGATGAGTTCGGAGTTTAGAACTCCTGTGCCGACGCCCAGCCTCTCTTGCCTCACCTATGTCTCATTTTTATCCCACCTTCATACACTTGACTCGAAAATTTGAACTCCGTTCGGATCGCGGTTTGATGCAGAACGCGCCGTTCGGATAATTTTTCGGGGAGGAGCCAACCTGATAAGAACGAAGCTCGTCACAGAGAGCGGCTTTCACTCACTCAAAGAACTTGGAATGCTTCACCTTCGATGGATGACATTTCCAGACTTATCGCTGCAATTAGAATGCGGAGAAATGCCAAGACGCCGTCAAGTTTAGAAGAGACGCTCCCGAGCAACAACCCGATTTTTTTTCCTCGACTCCTCTTTCTGGTCCGATATTCCGTATGCGAGTGAATAGAATATATTCGAGCGCTACTCCGTAATCCGAGTTCGATCACGCAGCGCGTACGCTCAGCTCGATATTTCGCTTTTTCTGGGAATCACGAGAGAATAACATCTCCAACACTCAGCTGGGCCTTCGTAGGGATAAGTGAAGCGCTCCCAATGGAAAAACCGAGACGCTACATCTGCAGAGCTGTCCTCAGGGGAGACTTCTTTGATCAAGAGCGTGTAGGAGCAGAGGCTGAGGAAAATTTGATCAGTTTCCTGATCAGAACGATTGCTTTCCTGACGAAGATTCTGAGCGGATGAAAACTCGAAATCCTCGATCATCGTGAAGGATGTCCCGAGCTGCATTCCGGCCCGCCGGCGATTCGAAGACCGACAAGGTTTTCCAGAATCGAGCGCTTCCACCCATACTCGATGGGAACGGATGAACGAATATGCGAGCTAGGAGTGATTTTCGTTTGCAGAAACCCCGAAAGGCGCACTCTTGCCCTCATTCGTCCGCTCGAGCGTCTGTTTCGCCTTTCGCTCGTGCAGACACTTATCTTTCTTCGACGTCATCCAGCTAGCAATGCTGGGCACGGCCGTTGGTCCGTCGATACATTTTATCGGACCACTGCTGGATTTCTTCCACTTCGGCTGAGGGCAGGCCAAGCAACCACGGCGGCGGCGACGGCGGCGGCAGCAGCAGCAGGCAATGCTCTGACCAAGAGCCATCTTCTGGCAGCTGCGACCGGCGCCGCGGCGGAGTCAGCGATGGCATGTTCTCTACAAAACGCTCTGAGCCCAGAAAAATTCCACGAGACTTTTGTCGCCCTGTGTTCTCGTTCGATCGTCCGATGGTACTCGCCTGTCCGCCGTACTTTCGTCCGTACTGCTCGTCTTACAGTACAACGAAAATATACGTGCGCGTCATATCTCCCTCAGAATATGATATCACGATGCACAGCGATGAGGACCGCAAGGTGCCATCCGGCAGAAAAAAATTGGGAACACTTCATGCAGACCTCGAGGTTTCCCATTGCTCCGGTCCCTCAATCCCGAAGCTCTTGATCAACTATCTCTCTTGGGGCTCTCGATCCTTCGTCCTCCGCAGGATGAGGAGCGAGGAATCCCCGAGAAGAGGAATTCGACACCCTCAAGCTCGAACTATGTCGAAGATGTATACGCACTACGCTACGGCGCGACGCCCGTATTCGTTCGGGCATCTCACTCAGATGAGCGTTCGGCTCTCCGCATGACTCCCTGGATTTCCGATCGCTTGGCATGCTGAACGGCTAGCGCTTTGCTCGATGTTGCCGATGAAGGTCCCTACAACCCAAAAGCAACTTCACGTCCAGAATACTCGTTCACTCACTCACTAGCTGGTGTTCCTTCTGCGACGGCGGCGGCGACGACGACTTCGCCTCTCAGCCAGTGCATTGAACCTGATTCGATAGATTTTTCCGCTGCGAGCTAAGATTAACGTCTTCTTGCAGCGTTCATGAATGTTTTCAACGAGAATGCTGCTATGCTCGCCGAATCGATCGGTCGTTCCTTCAGCTTGTATCTTGCCTTTCTAATATTCGCGGACGCCGCTGCTAGAAAATCGCCTGATGCAAGAGCGTTCGCCTTCGAGGGAACTTCATCAATCTATCCGATGGCCATCTATCTCGCCTTTTATCCATAGCGCTGCTATCGGGGAGATATATGTATTTGCATATGCTCGGAGATATATATGTTCGTGTTCCTCCCGATGGACTAGTGTGTTCGACGACTTGAGCGTCTTCGCGAATTCCTCGGCGTTTGGACGAGCACGTCCTTTCTACGAAGATTACGTCCACTTGAATTATTGCATCAAATTGCTAAGCGTTACGCCGCTCGTGTTCCCATGAGCGGCGTTCTAGTTCGATCCCACCAGCAGCGGCCATGAGCGGGAACGATCGACGTAAACAATCGGCTTCATCTGCAGGGACGAAGAGCGACTCGAATATTGTGTATGCCACTGCAAGTTGTGGAAATTATCTTCTCCAGATAATTATGGCCGGTCATAACTCCGAGCACGATGATTCCGAGGCGAGATCATGCCGTCTTCGCTGATGTAATTTGCCTGAAAAATCAGAGATGCGAGTATTGGATCCGGGTTCCAATGATTCTTCCTGGGGAATTGCTTTCCAAGACGACTTCTCCGGGGGATCCTACGTTGATTCCTTTGGGCTTATCGAAGAGCGGGTGACCAGCTCATAGATAAGGCCATGCAAGCCCGCCGCAGCCGTGTCTACTACGGCACACAATCTAGAGACCACTGACCTTCATTGACACGTGGTGTCATTACCCAGAGCGAAAGATGGCGTGGGAATCTGAGTGAGCGGTGTCTATCTTCCAGAGTGGAACTTCCAAACCTGGAATCATCGCGGAATGTGGTTCGAAATTCCGAAGAAATTTAAAGCTTCGGCCCGTCAGTCAAAACCGTCCGCGGCGACGTGGGTGCCTCGGACGGCGATGCCGAATCGATGTGCTATATGATCGATAACATTCGCTGCACCAGCTCGCGCTAAAAGTCCTAAATTGCTTCGCTCACCAAGAAGGATCACTTATTAGACCTCTCTCCATGGGAACAATCTCGGCCCCTGTCCTCCTTGGGAGGAGAACCATTCACTCTCTCCGGAGCATGGAACATGATGCTTTATTTCGGGGACAGAAAAATCGATCCATCCATTTTCGATTCATGCGATTCATGCGATCCGTTCATTCCTTCATCGAATCGATCAGTCACCGAACCGATCTCACGGGAGTCCGTCCGTTCTACGATCAAGATGATCCCGGTGGTCAGGTTTCGAATGCATCAATCCTCTGATTCAGCTCAAAAGGTTTTCGAAGACTTGTTCGCGTTGCTTCACGATTAGGAGAATCGCACAAGTAATTCTCGTTACACCCGTTTATCCACGAGCAGAATCGCGCCGGCCGTTATTCTCTTATCCATCCGCAAATCCATGTTGCGCGATTCTCATTATCCGGTCAAGTCTCCTACATGAAATGTTTCCTTTTTTCCCTTTTTCTCGTCTCTCTCATCTGCAGCGGTCCGATATTTGGGTTAATGCCGACGAACGATGCCTTGTTGGACACATGGCCGATGCGAGACTACTTTCAAAGCCAACCGGTTCTAAGTTTCGATGTCCATCCAGCGCAGTGAAGGGTTGCGAAGACGCTGTTAAACGGTCGCCCAGTCCAACCAAAACAGCGAGGGAGCAAGCCGGTCATACGGCTAGGAATCTCGCAGCACGACAAGACGCAACGTATTTTTTTCTCGTTAGGCCATTTCCTTCAATCGAATGCCTGGAGGCGATTTATTCGAAGGAGAGCTCGAGGATACTACCGAAATCATCTAGTCTCATGCATTGTATCGTCCACTAAAGGGTCAATTCACTCATTACCACCCGAGTGTGGTCAGGAATTATCCCTCTCTGATGATGATATGTCATTCGCGAGAAAATATTGCTCAGTCTGTGATGGAGCCGATTGGAGGGCAGGAGTCAACCGGGTCCTGGGGTTAAAAGCATGCATGCCGACTCTCAAAGTTTTCCGTTTCAGTGGAGAAAGAGAATGACGAGAAACGGGAAGATTTGCACCGTTTGGCGGTGCGGTCGCTTGATTGAATTTGCGAAGGGAGCCGAAGGGCCTTATCGATCTGATTCATTCTCAGTGAGCAGTATCACCCGAAAATCGTGGGTTCCGAGCTTGACAATCCCGCATCTTAGAGAAAATCTCTCCGTAAGAGCCGTATTCCGCCCGCAAGCTCAAACGAGCCTCTTCCTCATTTTCTACTCACTTGATAGGTCGGGATCTTTCGGCACTGTCGCACGTAAGGTCGGTCCGTAAGGAGGCGATCGAACTTTGGAGCTCGAAGAACGGTTTCTGCCTCAAGAACACGGGGGATCGAAGAGCTTCGAGTTCTCGCTCGCGCCGCGGAACCGATGATTTTCCCGACACAGGCTTCGATCCGTGGCGGCTGACTGCCGCTCAGGTGAGCGGTCGGGCGACGGCTGACTCCGCTATCGACGAGCAGAACTCAAGTCCCGAGCCAAAGTCGTGAGGGAAACTCTGTCGCCTAGTGACTTACCCATTGGATGGGAAGTGCTCGCCAACAGGAGAAAAAGAGAACCGAAGAAGAAGAACTCCTCTTCTTTTCGGATGAGGCTGACGAGAAGAAAATATCTCGACGCCGACTCACGAAGAACAGCCGCACTTTGTTGTGCAGCTATTGTAGCCCTCAACCCTCCGGAGCTGGACTTCGGCCGTCCGTCTGTATTCGTTTCGATTCGAATTTCTTTCTACTGGTGTGTTTGTGTGGCAAGCGGTCGAACGACGACGACGGCCGACCGTCCAGAGCGGCGTGTTGGTAAGTGTCAAACTTAGCCACGATCCAAGTCCGCATTCGAAGCTCGGCCGTTGCCGTGAAAGATGCTCCTAGCGCTCATGGACTGTGTCGTGTATGTTTCTGTACCCGGAAATTACGAAGTGTCTCATTCGATGGCTATTCTGCGGAAGAATCTTGAATGTGTTCAGCTGATCATACCGTTGACTGACAGGGATCCACTCGATTGAGATGTGATGGGACTCGAGCGATATCTAGGCCCGGAGACCCGTGAGGGCTTCCAGCTCGTCCTCAGAGATCTCTTTTGAAATGCTGTTGACCTGGATCCTACCCCAGGATAGGATTTCTCCGGCGACCTTTTGAATTGTGGCGATGGATGAGTGCATTGTGGATGACTTGAGTCTTACCGATGTCTTCCTCGATTTCCAGGCAGCAACAAGGAATGAACGGGGCGCTGGCTCGGATGTTGGGTATTTCAGGCGCTCCAGCTGTGTCGGAGGCATCCTTGTCCGATTGCTCGAATTCCGTGGAGGACGCTGAAGAGCTCCGAATCAAGTCTGAAGTAGTCGAGGACAATCGAAGACACGGAGCCGCCGATACGCAACGTCAACAGGAGAATCTGCACGGATTCCATGATGGGGTACGAGACCTCCCCTCTTTCCTAATCTGATCTCCCCAAGTTGCCATCCTATGACCCTTGCGTGAGACGAATTCCTTTTCTGAGACCATCTGCTTTTTCCTTCACTCAGATCACCCAGCGGTCATCTCCGCTGCCGCTGCCTCCGGGTGTGAGTTTGGAGCCTGTTCGTAAAATGGCTTCGGCTTCTAACTCGACTCTGGGCCGAATGCCCCAACCGAACAACCATGGAATGAATCCGCAGACTCTCAATGGCTTCCACTATCCCCATCAGCAAAGACCTCAACAGAGAACTTCACAAAGTCCTGGAGCCAGTATCTACTCCAATGGTTAGTGCGGATATCACGAAGCGCTGTCATGTTTGAGATCCTTGCATGCTACCGCACATCGCGTTCTAGACGGATGCGATATGCCGACAAGTATCGGGAATGCAAGTATCGAGACTCGAGCGTTCGAATTTCCATCCAGGTATCTCTCGCACTGCGGGCGTTCGCCATTCGACCACGCCAGTCAGTCGGGTCAATGGCGTGAAACGGCGCCGAGAGGATGATTCTGAAAACGACGATTATTATTTGGAGAAAAGGACCTTTTACAAGGAAATGACGAAACTTTGTGGAACGGTGAGGGACGGCAATGATTCCAAGGCCAATATCCTCGAAACGATAAAAAAAACTCCAAGAGGATCAGGAATCGGAACTCACCGATTTCCCCGGAAACTGATTACAGGTGCAAAACTTGCTGTTGTCAATGAAAGAGACTCAGCAGCTCAAGCAGCAGGTGCTTTTGGAGAAACTTCGCATCATCAGGCTCAAGTCATCTAACCAAGGAGACATGAAGGGTCCCGGCATTCGTCAGGACTTGGATGACGACGAGAACGAGGAAGAAGAAGATGATAATCTCGATAACAAACGAAACGGACTCGATGACCACGACGTGTCCGATCAGGACGCGAAAGACGCTGAGGAACGTGAAACTCCCGACCTCGATGATGAGGAGTGACATATCATTGATTACCTTGTCGAACAAGCGATTGATATCGGTGTTCCGAAGATAAGCATAGGCCCGATAGAGTGACAGGTGGAAATATTTAGACGATGAAGGATAAGGTTATCTGGATGATGATACTTGTGAGACTTGTGTGATACACTCCTTTGTCCTCCAGTTGTGAACGGACGCTCCAGATCGAACATGGGAGTACATGTGACGAGCTTGATTCATATTTAGCACAATAGAAACAGTGCAACTCATTATTCATATACTCAAGCAGCAGGTGAAGTCTATTCTTGCAATTTAGGTAGACGGAGCTTTTCTTTCGTGGACGTATAATTTAATAAGGTGGTCTCTTATCAGAGGAAGACGGGCTGTCTGAACAGCGCTCAAGTAGTCGTTTTGTATTACAATGTGCCATTTTGGTTGATGATCATTTCGATCACGATGGAGACGATACTGGATATTTATTTCAAAACAAGTATTAGACCCGAACATTTAGCATTTTTAGAACTAGCGAATTAGCATGAATGTCCGAATAAAACATATCGCATATGTTGAGGGATGAAAAACAACGTTTTTTCTTCGTTTCGGACCGGGTGGCCTTCGAATTTCTCAACTATTTTTCTGGATGGGCACGGAGTCATTGCCGGGATGCTCGGTGCTCGGAGAAGGTATCTTTGCGAATCTAATTGAGGCGTACGAGTACGCATCCTCCTCCGGGAGCGGAGTTCGAATCTCGTGGTATATCACGAAGAACGAAGCGGAAGTCCTCCGAGGAGGCACGAGGTAGATGGACTGGGAGTTTCGATTTTTCTGATGCTCGTTGAGTATATATTGGAGCATGCCTCGTAAATCGACGAGCTTCGACGATACAACATCAGAGACGTCCTTCTCTTCATTTTCTCTCGAATCGACGAGCTTGGTCCATCCTAAAGCCTCTAATCGTGATCCGGCGTTGCTCCGAATCCTCGGAAATTCCGATGATGCGTTGGGTTTGAAAGTTCTCAAAGGTGAGCCAAGGATTCCACCTGTCCGAGCGAATCTGTAGCGCTGCGCGGCTCGACGGAGCATAAATAGATTGTCATCGCAACGGAAAGTCTCGCAAGCGATCAAAATCAGCCTAGGTACATTCTTCCGCAGGCGTAACTCTCCTCACTCGGGACGCGTCCGAAGTGCCGAGAGCCAATGATCTTTCGACTTTTCTAGTAGTCTTGGGATCGATTGCCGTGATAGTCTTGATCATAATTATTGAAGCAATTCTTATCCTGAAACCTCCGAAGGATCTTCCGCAAAGTAATAATTCCCTCCCGCCAAGCTAGAGACCTTCGCACGGGCAGAGGTTGACATACGAATTTTCATGCGATCGATCTTCTCTTCAAAAGTCTAATCATTCAGCTCACACACCGCATGGCTTCCGGAATGCCTGCACGCCGGATTGTGGTCCGCTCAGAGAGTGTCCGCTCTCAGTTTTACAGTGCAGGTGCAAATACGGCGTACCGGTGATCGGTGACAAATGCGTACTCCAGCCAGGTAGGTTGCTCGGTCCGAAAAAAACTGCGGAACCGGAAGCATGAGCATTGCTTGAAGACGAGGATCCGACAGGATGGGTTTTCGCTCTCTCCCGCAGTACAGCAAACGAAAGCGCAATTCTGCACAAGTGTCCCGTACAGAGAACTCGATCCTGACCAAGACGGTTGCAGATGTATCGCCCAAGAAGGAATCCAGAGGGTCAGGGTTGGCTACTGCGCTAAGGAAGGTGAGCACGGTCTATCGCCAACTCTCCCATCCCGAAAGATTGAGCTCCTCGATTATATTCAGAAAGAACACTTCGGCCAGTCGACTTGCAAGAGCAGCTTTTCATGAATCCCTGACGATATCGCTCCGGACAGACCGACTTCCTCCGAGAGAGACACAGGAAGTCAACCGCTTTCGAAGAATCACAATTTTTTTCGTTTTCACAGAAAAGTTTCCGCAGAGAATGTGCTGGTACGAAGAGGAGTACCGATGTCTCAACAGTGAGTCGAACCTCTAAGTCTTCCCACCGAGGACGCTTTTTGCCCACCGGCGTAGGAGCCGCCGGGCGAGTCTCGTATCTTTATCCAGATAAGAAAATACCCCCGTAATCACAGAAAAGTGAGCTGGTTTCTTTCGAGAAATCCTCCTGTTACTCTTTACAGCTACGTTGTGCGAACTCGGTTTCGAGAAAGCAGTCAATTACCGCGTGGCCCGCGGGATGGAGACTTTTTTGCCCGCCTTTCGTGAGGTGTATTGCGGCGCCTTCTCGCAAGCGGTCGGCAATATTGGTCCGAATCGCGATTTTCTCCAAGCTTTCAACCTCATACGTCTGGTCTCCAACACGAATATGTGTGAGACAAGGGACTTGACCCCGTGCTTCAATGACGTGACGATAGAGAGGGAAATTCAAAACGAACCCGATATAGTCAAGCAGCTATTCAACAAGTTTAAAGAGACCAATACGGAGGCTTACGAATGTAGTGAGGACACCTACGCCTGTAGAGAGCGGCTCTCAGGTACCCGGGATGATTGGGGACCGGACAATTTGCCTGGCAAGATAAGAATTCGGAGACAGATCAACGAATGGAACTACTTATCCGTGCTGATCAAAACGAACTATTTCCAAGCCACTGGCTGCATCACTTTCCAAAACCTGGAGAGATATATCAATAATCGAACGCTGAACGCACTAATGCTGAAAACCATCATCTCAGATATGAGTTTCCCTGCTAGGCAGAAAAATATTGATGACTCCCTCTCACATCTGAGATTGTTGAGACCCGGCGCTAAGAGCTTCTTTGGTTTCAACGAACCGAGCCTGGACAAGCTCGACGCGAATTGCATCGAGCCGCTGATGGCGGAGTATAAAATCCTCAAGAAAGATCAGAGTACATGGCCTGAGGTCATGGCAATGATTATGAAATTGAGGGGAGCGGATAAGTTATGCGCTTTCGACGGAATTCCTGAAGCTTTGAATCGACTCGAGATTCAGGTTCAAGACGATCAGCTGGTCCTCCCCTTGTGGACTCTGAACAGATATTGTGTTTTCGATCGGGCGCCCGAAAACTGTACACGTCTCATCGTCGCATCAATCGTAGCCGAACGTTTCCTACAAGTCTACGATGTCGAACACGACGAGAGAATGCCCTATAAACGAGAGTGAGTTCCGGCTTCGCTCAAGAAGAGAAACCATCCGATAAATCGATTCATCATCGATGATCGAATCTTCCACTTTTGGCCCTAGAGGCATAATCAATCGAAGAATATCTCACTCTCGAGGCTTACTGTGGGGTTGCTCCGGCTACCTGGTTTCATCTTGGTCACTTCTCGTTCCAGGTACCTACTCGGCCACATCTTATGCAATGTCGAGAAATTATGCGTCGTGGAAGAGTTTGTGCAGTACCGGTCGTGGGTGCGGGCGCTGACTGCGCGTAACAAGTACCATCCTCCGGATAAAGTGACGCACGACCTGGATGAAAAGTGTCTTATCGAAAACAGAGTGATTTGAGCTCTGGAGGCGGTACCCTTTCTCAACTGGTCCTGCAGCACCCGGAAAAGCCAGGAAGGGGAGGAGAACCCGAACAGTCTGCGCCAAGCTCCGAGAAATCGATAGTTCCATAAGCATAGCTCTCACGTCGAGCGTTCGAGCTCACTCGACAACTTGTATATCCTGTCAATGAATTTTGTCAATTGTTATGAAACCGAGTCTCCATCGTACTGAGTCGAGATTCCGCCCCCCAATGGCAGGTCGGTATCCCGGGGGCGAAAAGGCCCTCATGGAATGCTCCGCGATTCAACTCGCTGAGCAACGCCGAATTTTGTTTCGCAGAATGACAGCCATGATTGAAAAAAGCTCTCGCTGTCCGCAGAATTGAGAGCATTAATTGGAGGTTCAATCGTTCCGCACGGTATTTCATCAAAATTGGATGGCACGAGAGCCTCTGCCGTCATTGAAACTCCTCCCATGCCGGGTTCCGAGACGCGCACTCATTTACCGGATAGAGCAGCGGTTCCCAACCTGGGAGCCGCGGCTCCTAGGGGAGCCGCGAGACTTTTCTGGGGAAGCCGCCGAACCTGGTAGACTTTTCGTGGGGGAGCCGCGGA